GGAAAAAAGAGTCATTCACAAACATGGAATAACCTGTAACATGTAAACACAGTACTTATGTTATGATTCCGGCAATGGAACGTTTCTTTAAACCACCAAGAGCACTGATACAAACCCTGTTTCCTGGAACTATTCACACTGCATGGATTTGATGATAGGCATTTGAGAGATCGAGTGTTACACTCGTCAAATAAAACTATATATATATCATTTGTATGGCTCAAAAATTTACTATGGTCCGAGTTAGTTTTCAGGGGTTTCAAGTTTTAGTTGTCAGATTTCATCGTGTGTATGTGAGACAAACAAAAAATTTCAAATTACCGTATAACAAAATTATTCAATAAGATATATTGTAAATTGAGTGAAAATAACTATTCCCAGGAGTTACCACTCAGTAAATTTGGTTAACATTCAACGAATGTCAGTACTCAAAACTACTAGCCAAGTTTCGTATGGTCCTACGAAGAGAAATATCGTATGTTCTATGAGGAAGCTAGACTATTAGAGCAGTAATTTGCTGAACATACTTCAGACACATATTTGCTTCATCATAGTAAAATAGTGGAAAAACATACCTGTCCAGTGCAGAGACCAACAACCAGATCCGCAATGAAGTTGTCCTCTGTTTCACCTGAACGATGTGAAACCATAACACCCCAACCTGCTTTTTGTGCCAACTTGCAAGCTTCGATAGACTCCGTGATTGAGCCTATTTGATTGACTTTTAGAAGAAGACAATTGCACGCCTTAACTTCAATAGCTTTCTGAATTCGTTTTGGATTAGTGACTGTCAGGTCATCTCCCACAATCTGAAAAGTGTAGGATAATATCAAATAAAGCTTGAGGATCATAAGAAATTTTACTAATCCGAAAATGTTTTCTGAAATTAGGATCTTAATGATTTCATTAGATACATGTCACCAACTAGCTACGCAACAGCACCATACTAAGTGGCACTTATTACTTACATCGTTTAGAACTTACCTAACACGATGAGCCCGATTTCATTATTACTTACTGTTATGAATACGAAACTGGATTTAGACGTCTACGGTTAAAAACCGCCGTCTTTTCTCAGTCCTTAGAGCTATGTCACAGTTGTGAAGCAGGATATAACAAATCACTACAAAGTCGACAATGCAAAGTGGAGGATGCCACACAAATCTTTAGTACCCCCTGTTGAGACTGCGTCAGCAGCCAGTCATTAGGGCAGACGCAACTTCCTAAAAAAGTGAACTCAACAACACATGCAAACCTTTCGTCTCTCATCTTCACTAAACTGAGATTCGGGGCAGGTCAGTCCTGCAGCATCACCTTACATTTCAGTGGCTTGCATGGCAAGTGTACTGAGGTTACTGCACAAACACAACAGTGAAAAATAAGAGAAATGATTGAAGAAATTGACATTACTTGAATTTGAGTTGATGCAGTCAGTTTAGGCCAGGCTTCCCAGTCATCTTGATCAAATGGATCTTCAATGCTAACAATTGGGTATTTGTTTATCATTTCTTTGTAAACACCAGCCATTGCATCTGGGCTAAGCCAATTGCTTGGTTGAGATTGAGGGTTTTTGAAATCCAAGTCATATTTTCCATCTTTGTAGTATTCGGAAGCAGCACAGTCCATTCCGATTTCTACCTTTCCAGCGTACCCTGCAATCTTAATAGCTTCTTCAAGCAGTTGAAGACCTTGGAAAGAAAAGTTTTTGTAAGTGCAAACATTACAGGGTTTACAGCAAACAGTATACAAAGAATTTACGGGTTTGTGTATGGTCCCTAACACTCACATCATGTAATAATTAAAAATAAATAACACTGCTCAAGATCTGACAATTTGCCTGAAACCCGAACCGAAACCACTTTCTTTCAGAAAGCGCCCACTAAAGTCCTACGTAAAGAAATATTATGAGCCAAAAAATTATTTTCAGCAAATATTTTTAGGTTGCACTGCTGTTAACATGACTACTTTATCTACTCAACTCCACATTGACGTAATCAAACAGACAATAAAATGATTTCCTCAGATTAATAACCGAAACTGAGGTAGTACCAGGAAGAAAAGAATACCAACGGCTAACCTAGTAACTGAAATTCACAATCACTTGATACATAATGTACTTAATATATTATACATTAAACTACCAGGAATGACGCGGGAATTTGTCATTAGTATTGTACTAGGTCAAATTCACCATGAAATAATGTGCATACCTTTCATGTTGTCTTGGATATTCGGAGCAAAACCACCTTCATCACCGACGTTGCACGCGTCTAACCCATAATCACGTTTGATAACAGCCTTCAGATTGTGATACACTTCGGTACCAATTTTCATTGCCTCAGTGAAAGAGCTAGCACCAGTAGGCAGGATCATAAATTCTTGCATAGCTAGCTTATTGCCCGCGTGACTACCACCATTTATCACATTAAATGCTGGGACAGGCATTATGACATCGCTATGACCAGCAAGTTTTGCAATATACCTGTATAGTGGTAAGCCCTAAAAAGCAGAAAAAATCAACTGGAAATCAGTGAACATGATACTCTGTTGTAATACAATACTGAACAGAAACTCTCAACTCTCATCTCTGTCGTTAGTTCATATAAAAGCCAATTTTACCACACAGGTAATGCCAAAATCTAGCTTAAAAAATCAAACCGCATTTTACACATTTGCATAACTTACACACTCTGCTGCACCCGCTTTGCATACGGCTAAAGATACGCCCAAAATAGCATTAGCTCCAAGCTTTCCTGAAAAATAGAACATTTACTTGATGGAAATATTTTAATTTACCAAAACATCAAAAAAATAAGTAAATGAAGTGATAAGAACGCTTATGGACATATATTGCGGCACAACAGGTTTTTTACACGCGACGGCTCAGAGATTTCCCAAATCTAACTCCTAGCAAATATAGAGTAAGGTGTATTTATGATTCTCCACACATATATAAACGAAGTCGAATAAAATTTTAACTCGTGTGCTTATGAAGCGTTGACCTTTTATGGAAACGTTTTATGCGCTAGTTATCAAGTTACAAAGGTGTATGAAGTGGTGAGGATCGGAAACAGGAATAATAATACTGTCACTAAAAGTGCTCAAGTTGCCGAAGATTCACGTTGGTGCGTCGTAGTTAAACAACACATTCTTTGAAATCAGCACTGAACCAATGTTAGTATATCACCTCTCATCAACTACTGTAACACAAATCCAATGGATTTTACTTTCCAAATTACTGGGGCTAATGTTACCCCAAGGCGTAGAATTAGGTCTTCACCATTCTTACTGGTAACCACACTCATGACGGAAAAATTCAACCACGGTCTTGCGTGAAATATAACCTCACTGCAGACGTAGGAGCAGTCATATAATTGAAATTAAAAATTCCTGAGTCAATACTGTCGAGACTACAGTACTTGTTTAATTAGGTCTCAGTTATGACAAGTAGTTAAACATATATATACAATCAGATCTTTCAAAGTCCGCATTATGAATATGCTGACGGTACAAACTGGTGAACCGAAAGTCTATAAATAAGAGCGAATTTCACTGCAGTTTTAAGTTATTAGGTGAAATAAAACGAAAGTTTACGGTCGCAATAAAACAGAATAGTGCAAAGTAAAATTAACTACTGTATAATATCCAAAACCTTGGATTAACTTCCAGTGTACCAAGTCATATCACCAAGTAACATTGCTCACATGAGCAGATGAAATCCCAGGTACAGCTTACGCCAACTATATTCCTCTTTATATAAAATTAAATAAAGAATGAAACCAATATACTTACCCTTGTTCTCTGTACCATCCAGCTTGAGCATAAATTGATCAATAGAGGTTTGATCAGTCACCGGTATGTTTTCTTTCAGAAGTGCTGGGGCAATAATTTTATTCACATTGTTAACAGCTGTTAGAACCCCTTTGCGCATATAAGCTTTGTCGCTAGTGTCACGCAATTCAAGAGCCTCATGAACACCAGTTGACGCTCCACTTGGAACGGCTGCGCGGAACAGACCTGTAAAATCATTATCAAACATCTTTTAAACGAACACGTATATGAATAACGAAAAGTTCACACTTAAAAAAATGACCGTTAAGATGCCATCGATAAAGGAGTATTTGATTTGAGAGCATCGAAGTACTTACACACATAATTAAATACTATGATATAATGGCTTATATTCAAATATTACACTTCAACATTCATCATACTTCCTACTTTAGTAAAATTGACCTCACAGGTATCAGGAATGAGAAAACTATACTGAACACTTACCTTTATCTGTCTTCAAATCAACTTCAACTGTTGGATTTCCTCGACTATCGAAGATTTGACGAGCGTGAATACTTTTAATCGCCATTTTCTAAAAAGGAACACATGATTAGCTTAGTCTACAAGAACAAACAAGAAGACAAGTTTCTAAGATATTTTGTATTACACTAAATAAGTACTAGCAGGCAAAAGTATAAGTTCAATGTTCCTCTCTGTACACTTGAGGATTAACAAAGTTATCCCAGTCACAACGATCAGTTAATTCCTTGTCGACAATATCGATATACGGCTGTAGATAGGGAACGTCATTTTCTAAAGTCGTCCACTGTTCTTTGGGCAAAATAGTCTTTGATGCACTCAGAAGTGTGGCGCGTGCAATCCGAAAGTCTCTGGCTTCAGTTTCTTCACGCGGGAGCCGACGAAGAGCCTCCAACAAAACAGGAGAATGTGGAAGCCAGTCGTGTTTGAGAAGACCAACTTGGTTGTAGTAACTATTGTTAAAATTGAACATTTTGATTTTCTTCTGAAGGTCAGACATATGACTAAGACGAGTACGGTAAGCAGACGCTGCAAGATCCATGGCAGATCGCAGAGTAGCCATTATGGACTTCTGGTTCACCTGTAAAACAGACAGATATGGTAATCAGTATGTGCATAACGTAACCGTATCAAATATCATTATGCATAAGAACGTACTTAATAATCAAATGATCAGTGCATAGGTTGAAGCGCGAGGTATGGTTTTTTAAAAGTAAACCTTTACAATAGACTAAAAAATATCAGTGGTCCCCCAATGGTGACAAAAACTACTCCTGACTTTACTTAGCTTCAGCCTTTCTAGTTCCACCAAAGATCAAAATCCCAACCTAAATATCCAATAAATATTTATTTTTGGTTTGAATCATAAGTCTGTCAGCAGCTGCTACCACATTACAGGGTGGAAGACGGAATTAGTGACTGTTTACTTCCTTCATACTTAGACTGGCTATCAAACCCTTATCAAACTGTGACGTACATAAGGCTAAGTGTAAATTTCGTAATATGTTATTTGCTCCCGTTCCGTCAACTATATACTTATGCAACAAGACAATTCCAGGTGCACGGACTGATGAAGTTATGGAAAACAGTAGTCTCTGACTACTCATCTTGGAAAAGCTACTCATGGCCTCATCCCATACACAAAATTTCGACCAAGCAGTACAGAGGAGAATGATCTTTCACATTCAGATTAAAGGGATAAAGGTTCCTTACTATATTCGAAGCTGCCAAACCAATATGTTTAAAGCTAATGATATCAACAACAAAACATAACAAAGTCGACGAACCCAACACCACACAGACTCATCTTCCTCGTAGGAACATACGTGACTTACTGAACGCCCTTGTGTACGAAAATAAAGTGCAACGTTGCAACGTAAAACAAATTCAGTTGTCAATGTGCATTTAATAATGAAAGAAAAGCCTCAAAATTTATTAGTACTAATCAATTCCTTTCGACAACACTTCAGACAGCTTTTTTTTGTACGCCTCCATTTTGCCTAGTACAGTACCAGTACATGTCAAAACGGTTTTCAACTGCTTACATAAGAACTTCTTTTCAATGACTTTTATAAACAACCAGCATAATTCAACCCATTACGTCTTACCTTCATATAAACCTTCTACATTTTCACTTTGATTACTTCCCTGAAGGAGTTAGGTCCCGCTTCTACAACGGAACGTCAGAATTATTCATAGTAATTTCGCTGAGATTTATACAAGTATGATTTACATTGACTTTCCACTCAGGGTCCTATTATTGTGGAACTATTAGCCCAAATCCTGGTATTAGATCGCATAAACCGATTTGATTTAATCTCAAAAACTTACACGAAGATTTTTGCTGTTTAAAGAACTCGAATGCTTTTGAAGCCTATGTATAAATGAGTTTGTTGCAATAATATGAACAATAAGATTCCCTTATTAAACTTCGTAAAAGCAAATAGTATTCACTTGTAACGGAAGTTCGACCTTATCAGAGGCTTCAACAAAACACGTCATCTTTCACTTTTTAAAAGTGGATTAATTCAGGAAAAGAAGTACATAACGCATAGTGGCAGTTGCAACAGAACAGCTTCTTTTGTACTAGCAGTGTGATCTCCTTATCGATTGCTAATTCAACGGACTATAGGCATTTGGAAAATTTCCAGTTAGCAGGTGTTTATATCCTTACCATTCCTTATGTTATATACAAAGAAGTCTGGCTCATATTGTTGGATCATGCAACCGTAGAAGGTAATCCTAAACTCAGTGACCTATAATAATCATAATAATAATGTATATTTTCATATAAACATAAATTTACTTGAAAACGCATGCCATTTTTACAGGCACGATCAAGTATGATATAATGTCAAATAGTAGATTGTCTACTATCTAGTACTCCCACAGAACGTGAGGCTTGAGTGTAAGATACTCTGACATTTGTTGTTACTTTCCCGGATTTCGAAAGAGAAATATGGCTCCAGCAACATATCTCTATTCCATATCCCGTTCTGCAATCCTACTTAGTCATCTTCACTACTGCTCATAGGATCCTGTCTCTTCTAAATATCTCATCTGTGCCAACCGTGGACCACCAATTCATCGTTTCCCATCAGGATTCAACTCAGAGTTGTGGTACACAGTGTGACTCAACAGTCTTTTTAGTGAATTTCCAATCCATCACCACATCCTTCAGCAAATAAGCGGTGAGACAATTTATTATTTGAGTCACTGACCGCCAGTGATCCTTATTCCTTATCTTTCCTGCCTCACTGCATGATACTGTGTTAAGACTGCGTAAGGAGGAGCTGTTGAAAGCCTGCAGTCTGTCTGTATTACAGCTTGAATGCGTGACACAAACACTACAGCTTAGTTTGCTGAAAAAACTGCAGTTTGACCCATCTCAAGCAAGTTAACAAAAAACATATGTAAGGCTAGCAATGGATCTCAGTGAAAACATTGTTTGGTAGCCGCTTCCAGCTTCCTTTTATAAATCCTAAAAAGTTTTTCTAGGTGTATCCTATGAAATAATTTATGTAAAGTAATTACAAGACACAAGCTTTTTCCTTCCTATCCAGATATCTTAGTAGAAATGACTGATTATCTTTTTAATGCAGAATTTAGCACAAATGTGTAGTAGTTCAAGTTGCCACATTTCGTAAAACCCATATCAATGTATATAATTATTCCCGTCGATTCTTAGTGGACCTTAGGGTTGTCTGCAGTCCCCTCTACCTGGTTACACGATTGCCTATAAGCTCTCATCTCCTGCTCACACAGTCTCCTCTGCGTCACCAGTGAACACATACCCAATTCATATTCTCCCATTTGGGTTCCGCTCGTAGGTCTCACGCGCGATGTCGCTCAACAGTTTCCTTAGAATATATCGAATTCATCTTCACTTTCTTCTGCATATTTCTTGGGAAACATTTTTCGGCTGATTCGTTAACACAGTTCCTCGTTGGTTATCCTCTCTCACCATCTCGTATTTAGTATCGGACGAAGACAGAAGTTGATGAAAGCCCACAATGCCCTGCTGGAAATGTTTTCCGTTGCGCGCCAAGCCTTTGAACCATATAGAAGTACTCACTATTTGATATTAGTTTTCAAAATTCGGATTTTGTTCTTTATGCTGAGTAGAGCAGATTTCTACACTCATTTCAGAGTAACGAAATTCTGCATTGCCTTTCCCATAATGTGTTTGACATTGCTATCTGTGCCACCTGTAGATGAAAAGATGCTGAACACCTCAGATAAGTGAAAGAGATAACTCCATCTACATTTCTTTGGTGGGTGGTGGTTGATGCTTTTTCATGGTTTGGTACCATTATCCTCTCTGTCTTCCCTATCTTCACTTGAAATCCCACCGTCTCTTCGAGTTTCTTTGACATTAGACGTAAATCGTCCGCGAATTCCCAGTGCCTTTCCGTCGATTCAACGCACGTCTGTCTTCTGGCTCCCCACGGTCTGTTACTTTATCCAATCCACCACAATCAGAAACGTTATCGGTGATAGTAGGCAGCTTTGTCTTACTCTTTTCTGTACTTCAAACGCCTCACTGAGCTTTTCGTTGCGAATCACTTGGCAGGTGATATAATCATTTCGCTGTTGGATGAGGTTATATACGTTTGTGGCATTCCGATAGTTCCCGAATTACTTCACAGTCAACACACTCAAAGACATTTCCAAAGTTGATGAAGTTAAGGCGAAAGGTTGACTGCTAATCTATGTGCTGTTCGATGATGATGATGATGATGATGATGATGATGATGATGCAAAGCAATGCAATTCGGTCCGCATATGATTTGCTTTACCTGAGTTCAACGTGTTTCGGGCGGAGTTTCGCATCCATATAGTCTCTCAGTCTCTACAGGACGACACAATGAATTACTTGGCTTCGGGTGGACAGAAGCATGATTCTGAGGCATTTCTCACAAAGGCCTAGGTCTCCCTTCTTTGGTAGTTTGACAAGCTGATGCTTCTTCCAGTCAGCCTGTACTTTTCTCTTCCCCCAGATCTTTTGCAATAGTAGTGTGAGGATATTTGGTGTGACTTATGAATCTATTTTGAGTACTTCGGGAGGAATTTTCTCCTAACTTGGTGCGTTCTTAGGTTCGAGTAACTTTATGGTATTCAAGACTGTTTTTGTTGAAGGATTGGTATTCCCTGGCAGTTGTGTGCCTGCTGTAGGTGGTATTTCTACAGTATTTGTAGTTGGTGGTCAGTAATCCCTTGAAGTTACTAGCTAGTCACTTCCTTTGCTACTTAGCTTTCGTATTTAAACTGCCTTCAATACCCTTCACTAGTCTCATGTATGTTTCGCCATGTGCAGATAGAGACCTGATTATCTGGTACAATGATATAAGGTCCCCCGTATGTGCAACTTGTTCTGCTCCAGTCATTGTGCCGTTGATTAACCTTACTCCTACCCTATTGCCGTTAACTTCTTTATTCGGCTTGCACTAGATCACCTGGCCAACCCACCATCTTTCCTCTTCTAGCATCCCACGGTCCTAAAAATCCACTCCTTCATATGCCTTCTCTGCCTCCTTAAAAAGCCTCACTGGTTTCCTACAACATCAACTTAAGAGTGTTTCCCCATGCGGGTTTCCCTGTTGATGCTAAATAGCGTCTCCAGCCCTACTCTGATGTATGCAGTTAGTGCGTCTTTTGTAGTTTCAACCCTCCGTTCCTGGACTTTAGACCTTAACTGCAGTCTGCATCTAGCTTACATGAAGACTTTCAAGTTGGTATTGAGGGGACCTTGCTCCTCTTTCCGGCCTTGTATCGTTGAAAGTGAGACTAAGTTTATCTGACTTTCCATTTATCAACCTCGCGGCTCTAATGTCGTTTTGTGTTTACTCTCTAGTTTGTGCACTCTGCTTCCAATCACCAAATTATTGATAGTGAAGTAACCCGGGAAGAGTTTTACGTGATCATTCATTTCGTCACAAGCCGCCAAATCCGTGATGATCCCTCTTCCTCGGTTGTTTTCTTATAGCTCATCATTCATATTACCCGGCGGTATTTACTGTCGCCGTTCAGCATCTTGTTCGCTGCTCTTCGATGTTAGCTACGGAATGCTTCCTTTTTCCCTTGTTCTGTGTTTTCTGTAGGGGTGTAAAACTGAGTTGAATCATGCATAACAGCCTTCAGTGTTGCTGACGACATAATATTAGCTGTCTCCCATCGTGCCCATGGTTGGCGTCCAGGTCACCAGAGTAAACTATTCACCCTCCAGTTAACATATTTTCAGGGTCCACTTCCATTTAATCTGCTCCTTCAGACTCCTAGTCGGTGAAATTCGTTAGTGACGCCACTTGAACGACATCGAGCTCGTTTCTGCTCGGCCTCAAACAGAAATGCCTGTCATGATTGGTGTGTCCTTTTATCCTGCTGGACCTGTCACCTGCTTGGCCTGGCTCACCAACTCCAAACACCTTGGAACGCTGTAGCACATATCATGTCCCCAAGCACACTTGCTTTCATGGAATGGGGATACATCAGCTGGCTGGCTCCGGGGAAACTTTCCATAGCCCGTGGCATTTCATCTCCCCTCTTCCAAAGAAGATTAGGCTCATGTTTTACTTTTCCGAGCGTTAAAGTTCCCATAGACATTAGGTGGATTTCTTGGAGTAGGGATGCTGGCAACACGTCTGAATTTCATTTAGTTTCTTGATCTACGACTAGCTACTAAATTAGTGAACTAGTAAACTAGAGGGGCATAAGTTTAACCAGTAACCGCTTATTTTGTAAACGGTAGCTTTCATGCGAATAAAATGAGGTTTAATATACATAGTATTTGTTGGGCAGGTACACTTAC